TGGGCAGGACGCATGGGCCCCCCCAGGCAGGGGTCACTGTCCCTCGCCCCCCAAGGAAAGACGCGCAGTGGCTTCTGGGCAAGACACACTGTCCCCCCATCCAGGGCAGGGTGCATTGTGCCCCCCCCCAGGCAGACGCACGGTCCCCACTGGCAGGGCACATGGTACCCCCAGACAGGGCACACAGTGCTCCCAGGATATGGGACACAGCCACCCCCAAGGCAGGGCACATAGTCCCCTCCCTGGGCAGGGTGCATGGTGCCCCCCAGGCAGGGGTGCACAGTCCCATCGAAATCCCCCAGAGCGATGGAAAGGAGCCCAGGGAGTCCATTTCCCTGGGGAAAAAGGGGCCCAGGGAGTCTGGAAGTGCCAGAGCCTGGCCCCTGTGAGCCCCCATGGGCACAGGGGCAGTGTACCCGTGTGTGCTCCCCAAGCTCTTCTCCCCACACCCTCTTCTGCAGAGCTGAGGGGGGTCTTGGACTTTTGCTCCATAGGGGCCATAGGTAAGTCAATGAGACGCACGGGGCAGATGGGGCAGAACCCACCCCTGGGCACCCTCCTGGGTGGGCTGGAGCCCCGGGCACAGCCAGGTTCCCAGAGGCCATCCTGGTCAGCCCCTTGGCGTCCACTCCCCCAAGCAAGGAACTGGCCGGCAGCCCCACAGAGACCTATGGGGCCCACAGAGCCCCCTGCACCCCCCAGCTGCCCTGGGGGCTCTGCCCTGTGCGGGAGGCCAGTCCCCAGCTCCCAGCTCTGCATCCTGGCCAGGGCACATGCCCTGATCCATAAGGAGGGGCCGGCGCTGATGGCACTCAATCCTCCCTTAAGGAGCTCTGACAGCTCCCGGGCAGCCCTGGCTGCACTTCACACCTGCCTCCAGGGACGCCAACTCCAGGGCTGACCCCGATGGCTGCCCTCAGCTCTGGGGCCAGGGGTCCTGGGGGGAACCCGGCCGCACCGCCGGCAGAGCCCTGCAGCCCTGCGTCCCCCTGCCAAGCAGCATCG